AAATGAGGTTTGAATCTACTTGGAAAATACTTGGGTTTAGTATGTATTGGAGATAATCAGCAGATTCTCTAGAACTGTGATAGCGCTTTATCACTGCTCAACCGCGCCCTTTCAGCACTAGTTTAGAATAACCAGAAGTAAAGAAATCATGCTACACAGCCGCGAAAGAAGGCAGAATGAACGAGGCAGCGGTGTCGAGATTGCACAGTCGCTACAAGCCAAGCGAACGAACAGCAGCACTAAGAGAACCTACCAGTCCAAAGTCAACGTTATGAAGACGTGGCTTTCCCAGCATTATCCAGGCACAATCAACACCGACATAATGGAGTTGCGAGTTCCCCTTCCAAAAGAAGCTGTTCTTGCGTTCTTCGGTCACATTTGCGAGGCTGCATTCTCCTGCGACCATGAGGAAATGGATGCTCGGGATGCCCCCAGGGTACCACTCTCTGCGTCTTGCGTCTGGGGATACCGAAGCGCGTTAGTGGGTGTGTACCATAATAAGTTGTTGGAGTTGGATCAGCCCTTGGACACCGATCTGAGGCGTGTCCTCGATGGCTACGAGAAGGAAATTAACAACCTGAAGAAAAGAGGCTTAGTGAAGATAAATGAAGGCAAGCGCCAGTTGAAAGCCAGTGGGTACAAGCTACTTGCACGGAAATTGATGTCAATAACGCCGACAAAGCGAGGCCAATCGTGGGCTACAGTTTTATTTGGATGGAGCTACTTCGTATTGATGTGGAATCTAATGAGCCGCTCCGATTCAATTGACACTATAATGCTGCAGCACATGGAGTGGATCGACTATGCTCTTGTCATTGAAGAACAAGGACATAAAGGAGACCAAACAGGAGTGGACAAATTTGGCAAGCACGTCTACACTAATCCCTACGAGTCTTCTCAATGCCCGATACTCGCTATTGGCGTGCATTTACTTTGCTGCCCGGAGCGCATTGTTGGGGGGAAGCAGCAGTTATTCATTGACAGCGATAATAAAAATCGATTTGGGCGATTTTAACGGCGAGTGATTGACAACCTAAGCGAGGAAGAGATCGGATTACTGAGTTGCAGCCCTAGTGACATCGGCACGCACTACAGATTTCCCCGGCAAATCCACAAAGGTGGGACCAATAAATCGTCCGAGTTTACAAAGTTTACATAGGAAATCTGATCCAGGAAAATGTATTGATTTATAAGAAAGTTTTGACTAGTAAGCAAGAATATGACGCACCGCCATTGTTGAGGTCGGTCGTGGCACGATACCAGAGTGTACCCAGCAGTTTTTAATTGCGT